CTGTCCTGTGATTTTTTTCTCTCTCACGCCCAGACACGAACTTATGCACATATGTTGATTGTCTTTACATCATAATACTATTTCATATAATCTAGATATGGAATGAATAACATTCAATACAAAATGAACATGTCTCGTATATAGAAATAATGTTTTAAGTGATAAAATATTTGCTTTGTTGTGCATAATCCCACCATGCATTTAGTCATATTACAAAATAATTTATTGAAGCATCCAGACACTTCACCACGTGAGCAAGCAGCTAGGCTCCTGATTGGTTAACGTGGCGCGAATTCACGCCAAAGTTCAGACTTTTCAACTTGGGCGGCAGACGCGAATTCGCGTCAAACGCGTGAATGCACAAATGGCACTAACTAAATCATTCGCGCTTAACGCGCGAATGAGGCGTATTCGCGACTTCCGCGCCGCGCTCCACGCCTCATTCGCGCCGCAGGAATTTTTCACGCGCATAACGCGTCTTTGCATTGACTTAACATTGAAATCATTCGCGCCTGACGCGCTATTCATGTCCGGTGTGAACGTACCATTAGACTTGTACTGCGCTGATTTCTAAAGACTGCTGCACAGTAAAGCACCTTGAGCTCAAACAACGCTAAGATAGTGCTTACGAATGGTTCAGACCAACCGTACGAAGGTGTGACTTACAGAAGATATACTTAGCGTACGAACGTGTCGGGAATCATGCCATAAAGTTAAGAGAAGGGTAAAGGAATAGGTTAAGAACTACTTAGCGATAATAATATTTTGGGGAACCAGGCCCTGAGTGGTCCGGTCATTCACATGGACATAAATTTAACACATGCCACCGACCTAAACATTGGTCCCATTTACACGAATGGAAAACGAATATCTTTCCCTGTGGTTTGGCCTCTCATTTACGCGAAAACCCAGTTTTATCACAGAAAACTATTATTTCTAAAAACTCCAGCCAAAGTGGAGATTTCTGAAAGCGCCGGTTATGTGTTGTCATGTCAACTGGGAGAAACAGGATTTTAGGTTCTCTCTTGTCAATTCTGAGGATTTTTTTTTGGCTTGCATGGCTTTATCCTTCTCCCTACACTGCCGCCCATAGATTTGCCATAGTTATGATGACCAGGTGCACGCCTTCATGACAATGGTGTTCCCTGGAGGCCTCTTTCAGCAGGATAATTCACCCTGCCACACTGCACACATTCTTCAGGAATGGTTTGAGGAACATTACATTTACATTCATTTTGCTGACACTTTTATCCAAAGCGACTTAAAATTGCTCTATATGTCCAACGCATTCTCACCCCAAGGCGTCACCTTTGACCATGCTTCAATATTTGACGTTTTAGGCGCCCTTTAGCGTCACTTACATGACGCGATCCTACGGCGTCATCTAACTGACGCTAAAGGAAAGCGTCAGTTAGAGGACGCGGTTAGGTTTAGGTTTAGGTGTGGGGTGGGGGTAGGGTACACGCGATCCTAGGGCGTCATCTAACTGACGCTAAAGGGCGCCTAAAGCGTCAGATATTGAAGCATGTCCAAATGCTTCCCAAGGCGTCAGTTAAGTGACGCCTTGGGGGTGAGAATGGGCTGATATGTCAGAGGTCTTGCTCTGGGACACATTGGTGTCTCACAGTGGATCTCTCACACCAAAGGCATGTGTCTTATCCACCGCACCATCACTACCCCAACATGATGAAGAGTTCAAGGTGTTGCCCTGGCCTCCAAAGTCCCCAAATACCAATCCAACTGTAGATATCCAAATTGGATATCAATCAAATAAAGCATCGGTGGGATGTGCTGGGCCAACAAGTTCGATCCTTGTACCTTTCAACCAACTTGTCTTGGTGCCAGAAACCAAAACTTACAAGCTCCAAAAGGACATAAATGAGGCGTAAAAATAACCTATTGGTTTAATGGAAGCTGAATGTTCCCATCAAATCTGACTTCTGACCTGTAATACTGCCTGAATCATAATCATACACTATTCGTTCATTGGCCAGAGAACTGAGCCTGGTTTCTGCCAAGGTTTTTTCTCCATTCTGCCACCTGATGTAGTTTTGTTTTCCTTGCCACTGTCGCCTTAGGCTTTTGGCTTGCTTATTTGCGGACACTTAATATTCAACAATATTCTTGATCCGCCTGCATTGACACCATTGTGTGAGAACTGAACTGAGCTGGACGATGACATTTTTTACTTTTATACAACCAAAATGAACCATCACTGAACTTACTTACTGCAGAAACCAACTGTTGCATTATTTTCCTGTTGCATTATTATTGTTTTAAAGGGATGGTTGACTTTGAAAAATTGACTTTGAAATGAATGTTTTAGCTTACCTCAAGGGCATCCAAGATGTAGGTGTCTTTGTTTCCACAGTATTTTCAATTTTGACATTTTTCAGTCAAACTGTTGTTGTCTATCAGTCATACACTGGAGGCCACCAAAGAGCATGCACAGAGAAGTCCAAATTAAACATGATTTAATGACTCGTAAAGTAAGTACACATTGATAGCCTAAGACACGAAACGAGCGGTTTGTGTGAGAAAACGAACAGTATTTATATCGTTTTTACCTCGTGTAATCATAGCCATGACAAAATGATCTGACTTCGGAAGTTTTACCTTTCACTAAACATATTTAGATATACGGGAAACCGCAATGGAAGACGATTTTGGTATATCTAAATATGTTTAGTAAAAGGTAAAACTTACGAAATCTCTGTGTAAATATTGAGTGACGTCACACGCAAGCGATCACTTCCGGCGTAACATTGAACTGATTCAGTTCGGTTCAGTTGGACATTGAACAACTGATTCAGATCACTTGGACGTAACTGTGGTTACAAGAGGTAAAAACGATATAAATACTGTTCGTTTTCTCACAAAAAACGCTCGTTTCGTGTCTTAGGCCATCAATGTGTACTTACATTTACGAGTCATTAAATCATGTTTAATTTGGACTTCTCTGTGCATGCTTTTTGGTGGACCCCCTTTGCCTCCAGTGTATGACTGATAGACAACAACGGTTTGACTGAAAAATGTCAAAATTGAAAATACTGTTGAAACAAAGACACCTACATCTTGGATGCCCTTGAGGTAAGATAAAACATATCAAAAATTAATTTCAAAGTGAACTATCCCTTTAAAACCATCTGTATTGTAAAAAGCACTATATAAATACAGGTGACGACTTTTAATTCAAATCATTGATCAACTCATTCAAATATACCGACATAAAAAAACAATTGGTTCTTGCACGTCACATGACTTAACATCATGACAAGTACCAGTGAGGTTTGATGTTATTGATTATAACGTATTAGATTTGGGCGCTGTATACATGAGTTGATCAAAGTTTTGATTTGCTTGGTGTTATTATCAAAATTATAAGTGCACTGGTTTATAGCGTGGTTTTACGTTTATTGCACTTTGTTATTCTTCTAGTTATAACCCTAGGCCAAATTCACATGAAATAGCTTACTTATGCATCGAAAAAAGTGATTTAGCACCAAACCAAAATAGTTTTTGAAGCAAATTCATCCGATTGGCAAGTCGTCCCTTGAAGTTGAGAGGCTATGCTGTGGAATACCTATGCCTGATGTCTTTAAATCGAAGATCCAGCTGCGTGACACACGGACGATCCATCAATCAGTGATTTCCTGGAGCTCCAGTCCACCCCCAAATGACTCAAATGGCCTTTTCTCCGGGGCCTCTCCAGCGATGAAGACCGCACCTGCTAAAGCCTCATTACCGACCATGAGCTTCATCATGGGTTGACAGAAAATCTCTACACATCTCCTTTCATTGCCTGAGTCCACCATCACTCCTTCTCCTCCTTCGCAATAACAGAAATGTCCATCTCCACTAACGAAGGCAACCGCAGATCAAGTTAAATAATTCTCACCAAGCAAACTGCTCCCATTTTCCCTCTCCTTATTGTAACTTTCCATTCATCACATTCATTCCCAATTATTTCCCTTGCTTCTGTATTTTTATTAAGCCATTACTTGTGGATATATTCTTAATTTTCCTCAAATGGCACTTAGAAGAGGCTTTTAATTCCCATCATTTGAATCTGCTCACATATTAATAACAGTGATTTCAGTCATGTGCGCCCTGGTCTTTTTTTTTTTTTTTTTCTCATTTCAGTTTTTTCACGTAATTACACAGCACTTTAATTCACCCCGTGGCCCTCATTTCTTGAATACAAACCGGCACTTAAGACTGCTGCTGTTAAGCTCTCAAAAGAAATAAACAGGCTTGTTTCACCAATGCATCCTTACCGACGGCACTACCATTACAGAAGAATAAACAGCCTTGTGTTAACTGTAATTTGACTATAGATATTCCCCATCTGATTCCCGAGACGGTATACAAAGGAGACATGCAGCTCAAAGAAAAGACGAATGGAAGAAGTGACTAGAAGTGCCTTTTTATCGTGATTTCGGCTTAAGTAGTACCTTGAATGACACTTCTGTCATAGGTTATTCAAACGCGTTTTTGAAATTTATTGTTGAAAAACAGTTTTGGAGACTTAGCCAAGATGGCCGCCGAATGAACTGACTCGCCCTTGAGCGTCTTTGACTTGGATTAAGATCAAGATCAAGATAGGGTCATAATGTTTTTGGTTCAACGGACTAAACCTGCAGATAGATACTGTGACTACACCATCTGGATTACATTACTTTTTTTGCTTGTGCGAATTGATTAAATTATATTAAAGGTCGCATCACTCGATAAATGGATTATTTTTTGTGGTTTTGCCCTAACCAGCCATGGCGAGCGAAATGGGGATTGTTTTTAAATCTTTATTTCTGCGACGTTGTTGCTGACAGATCAGGTTCTTATTTTGTTTTGTATAAAACTGTGGCGAATGTTGGTGAGCCTGGGTCAGGTCAGTTTGAGTTTTTATTAAATGCAATTTGTTTAAAGTAAAGAATACACAACAACATTAATTGGAGATAAGTGCACACACACTTTAACGTTGAGTTTAAGTTTATTCTTACCGTTCTTTTTGTTTGTTCGTCAGCGTCTGAGTCCTGTGAGCTGGTGCACCATCAAAAGGGGTTCGGGTGGAAACATCGGACGTATATATATGGTTCCAGCCGATGATCGGGCCACAACCATTCCGGTTTCTGCTCCGGGGGAACCTGCTCCTATTATAAGCAGCACATTTATTAAGTGAAGTCATTTGATAGTATTATTTGAGGCGTTTGTTTATGTATATTGGGTGTTTTCATATTCATGTGTAATGGCCATTATATGTCTGTGTATCCCCCTTTACGTGTTAACATTTTAATGAAAAATTCAATTAGTTCCACTGTAGTCGTGTTTAAACGACAAACGAAGAATGTCAGAAATCACAGCTCTCATAAAAGAGAAGGCAAAAAATACCCAGATGACCAGCTACTTATATGTGGTGAGATTCTGAAGTGTGCATTCAATGGACACTTTACTATCCCATGAGGCCATGGGAGAGGATTTGTGAATGGCAGTGAAGTCACGTAACTGTTGCTGGCCGGTCACACTGAAAGCATTGTTTTTGGTGCCATCTGCCATTCAGCGCTCTCATGTATTTTTCCTTTGGCTCCAATGAGACTTATCACGTGACATCTACAGCCACTGAGATGCATGAGAATGCAAACTTTTTCCAGATATTGCAGACTTCTTAAGGGTTAAGATTCTTGGGGTTTGGGTTCAGAAGAATCAGATTTCTCATTGGATTTTCCTTGTTAGTAGTTTGTAGTTTGAAAACAAAAGCTTTGAAAGCCTTGAGAGAACAGACATGTTGACTCGCACCTGTGTTATGAGTCACAGCACTGTGGCAGTGCTCTAACAAACATGACTTTCACCTCCAATTATTTCCCACAAGTTCAGCAGATCATTTTACTTGGCAACAGCCCAGGGTCCCATTGCTGATAAAAAGCCAGTTATAAAGCTGCAGGTTCCCCTGATTACCAAACATGTTTGCTATTGGCCACTTTGCCTTTCTTTGCTAATGATGCATTATTCATATTTTTATGGCCTTGAAAAACAAATGTATTTTCTTAACTGCTAAGCTAAGTTGTTAATCACTTTTTTATTGAGTCTGTTCTCATTTGTATTCTACTTTTATTTAAATGAATTACTGCTGTGGAAGACAATATTTTAAAACAATCTTGCTCATGAGAATGCTCAAACAGTTGGCTTGCTCTAATGTTAATATTTTCTCTTTAACTTACAAAAAAGTTTTATATGTAGTTAATTTAACATGGGCTCATTGGAAAAACCTAACTTTACCTAGCTTTTTTGTCAAAAAAAGTACCTAAGCATATAATTCACCGCGGGATATAGATGAAATGACAACGCTATCTCACGACCAATTTGTAAGATTTGTCTAAACACCAGTGATGATGGGATTAGGGGTCAGGTGGAATCATACAAATTCGAAATTGTAAAATATGTAAGATTTGGCAAAAAACCCAAGAATTTGAGTGAGGTCGTATGAAATCATACGAACTAGCCACCTCGTAAAATTACTTCGAATTAGGCAACTCGTAAAATATGTAAGATTTAGCAAAAATCCTAAGAATTTGAGTGAGGTCATATAAAATCGTACAAACTAGCCACCCCTTAAAATTCGTTTGAATTGGGCAACTCATAAAATATATAAGATTTAACAAAAATCCTAAGAATTTGAGTGAGGCCGTATGAAATCGAACAAATTAGCCACCTCGTAAAATTCGTTCGAATTGGGCAACTCGTAAAATATATAAAATTTAGCAAAAATCCTAAGAATTTGAGTGAGGCCGTGTGAAATCTGACGAACTAGCCACCTCTTAAAATTCGTTCGAATTGGGCAACTCGTAAAATGTATAAAATTTTGCAAAAATCCTAAGAATTTGAGTGAGGTCGTATGAAATCGTACGAACTAGCCACCTCGTAAAATATGTAAAATTTAGCAAAAATCCTAAGAATTTGAGTGAGGTCATATGAAATCGTACGAACTAGCCACCTCGTAAAATTCGTTCGAATTGGGCAACTCGTAAAATATGTAAGATTTAGCAAAAATCCCAAGAATTTGGGTAAGGTCGTATGAAATCATACGAACTTGCCACCTCGTAAAATTAGTTCGAATTGGGCAACTCGTAAAATATGTAAGATTTAGCAAAAATCCGAAGAATTTGAGTGAGGTTGTATGAAATCGTACAAACTAGCCACCTCGTAAAATTACTTCGAATTAGGCAACTCGTAAAATATGTAAGATTTAGCAAAAATCCTAAGAATTTGAGTGAGGTTGTATGAAATCGTACAAACTAGCCACCTTGTAAAATTCGTTCGAATTGGGCAACTTGTAAAATATGTAAGATTTAGCAAAAATCCTAAGAATTTGAGTAAAGTCGTATGAAATCATACGAACTTGCCACCTCGTAAAATTAGTTTGAATTGGGCAACTCGTAAAATATGTAAGATTTAGCAAAAATCCTAAAAATTTGAGTGAGGTCGTATGAAATCGTACAAACTAGCCACCCCGTAAAATTTGTACGAATTGCTGTGAAATAAACACAAGAGGTGGTAAAACAGCAACTTTTTTTTTTCCTTTTCACACAAATTATGATTACAGGAGCAGATAATCGATTAATAGACTTATTTTCATGCGGTACACAATACTATGTCATGACCTCAAAACACTTTTAGCATATACATTTTGACGTTTGCATCACATATCCAGCTCCATGTGGGTTTTCTAACCTTTTAAATGTGCTCGACTGGTACAGATTTGCACTTGAGATGTGGGGCATTCAAGAGTCATGTGATTTTCATTTACAAACTGCTGCAATACATTCAACAAATTACATTCAAGTAAGCCACATCCATATTTATCTGTTTTTTGAGAAAATTAAATGGACTATTAGCACTGCTTACTGGACAAGCAATGTGACATCATTTTGCATAAATGTTGCCACAGGCACGTTTTTTCCAACTGGCCAAGATTGAATTAAATTTGAGTAATCCATGTAATTATGCATGTAATGCATTAAATAGCGGGCCTAATTTTATTAATGAAATGAAAATAGTTAAAGGAGTAGTTCACTTTTAAAAAAAAACTTTTGCTGATACCCCCATGTCATCCAAGATATCCATGTCATTCTTTCTTCAGTCGAAAAGAAATTGAGGTTTTTGATGAAAACATTCTAGGATTTTTCTCCATATAATGGACTTCAATGGGAACCAAACAGTTCAAGGTCCAAAAGACGTTTTTGACTCTCCTGTTCGAACTCATTCATCAAAATGAGCAAATCTATTTTCGTGTCATTTGGTTCATTCAACAAACAAAATGAATGAATTGACTCGGAAAAAGATTTCATTTTGATGAACGAGTTCGAACAGGAGAGTCACGAACGTGCATCACAGAACAGAGCAAGGCGACCATTTGAGCTTATAAAACTTAAACTTTGTTATTTCTTTTTTAAATGAGCGATCGTTTCGCTTGATAAGACCCTTATTCATCGTCTGGAATCGTTTAAAGCCATTTGAACAGTTTGCAGTTTGCACTGAAACTGTCTTTTAGACCTTGAACTGTTTGGTTCCCATTGAAGTCCATTATATGGAGAAAAATCCTGGAATGTTTTCATAAAAATTTCGACTGAAGAAAGAAAGACATGGACATCTTGGATGACATGGGGTTGAGTAAATTATCAGCAAAAGTTTGTTTTGTTTTTTCTTAAAGTGAACTACTCCTTTAACAATAAACTACTACCCGGATTTTAGCGACACGTTCACATCATGATCTGTGCCTCGATATGTTTACCATAATAAACTGTTAGGCTGCTTCCCTTTTATATTCTTCTTTTAATGCTTTGTCTCATTGACAAACCATTATTACCCATAATGCAGACCTTGCAAAAACTGATCAGTTCTCCACTAAAGGCTCTCTCTCTCTTTCGTTCTTTCTTTCTCTCTCTTCTCTCCTGCTGTCTTCTGCGCCATCCTCTATATTATCACCCTGGGAAGCGGGCTGGGCCGGCAGTCATTTCACTTCCTTTCCGTTGCTCCTTTCTCTTGTTCTTAGGCTTTGTGATATTCTAATTAAACCTGACGCACCTTCATGTTTATGCATGTGCACATCCTCCATTGGCTTCCCACGTGCATCCGAGTAGGATTACATGCTAGCATGCCAAGTAGCATTTTTATCTGTTTGTTTCTGTCGCTTCTCTCTCTCTCTCTCTCTCTCTCTCTCTCTATCCATCTATATATATATATATATATATATATATATATATATATATATATATATATTCCCCACCCGCTCCTTTCTCATTCTCTTTTTCCAGACATGACAAAAGAAAACGCCTTCTGAAAGCATCTGTGCCCGCGAAACAATCCCTGGGAAGAGGTGCAATGTGTTGCCAAGTTCTCCCCACGGATATCGAAGAGCACCACCCCCTTTGAGAGATTGTTCTCGGAAGATCATTTCACACAGAAACGGCTGCTGCCAAGTGGATGAGACGTTTTTTTGTGTGTTTTTTTCTCGCTGGATGAAGGAAACCTGATATCACATTGTAGAGGTGTAGATTTTCGCCCATCTTGATGTAAGGGCAATGGATGGACCATTATTGTAATATAACTGATTATGAAAGACATCATAGCAGTAAATCTTTCAATTTAGCAGAGCCGGGGTATGCTAACAGACTATCAGTCAGAACGTTCACTGCATTAGGACGTAAGTGGATGGAGTCAGTTGCAGTCTATGAACTATAAAATAGCAGTCCAACCTCAATCTCGGCCACATTCAAGCACTTAAAACCAAATCAGCCTGCGTTAACAAGCAAGTCTGGCTATCTTGGAAGGGACCTATTATGCATAATTCACGTTTGAACATGAATGTGTGTCGTGAGAGTGTGTACATAACCACACTATAATGGTAAAAATCCACCCCACTCCTCTTTTTTTTAATCCCCATAAATCATAATCCATGTCATTGATAAACCGTTTGCAGATTTTACCTTTTGCGATAACGTAAATGTGTAGGCCCCGCCCACAACTGCTGACAGACTCCGCTTTATAAGCTTAGCTCCTCCCCTCAGTGATCTGAACACAGTCCGCCGTGTTTATCTCCTCGCCTGAGCATTAAACAACAGCATTCAAGTAAGAAATGTATTCTTATCAAAGTGATTTTCTTGTTTGATATTCATACTGCATATTATGCTGCTTTCACTTTACTACACAGATCTAATATACACAATTGATTTCTTTCACTGCTGTTTCTGTTCACAGACATAACCTACTGTTTTTGACATGACCCTGTGTGTATTTTACAAGTTAAGCGCAATAAGAAGTGAAAGAGGACTTAGTTTAATACTCACGGGACACGCCGTCTGACTTGCGTCGGATGTGTTCCCTCAGAAACTCATACATCAGAAGTTTAGATTGATATCCCTTTAAAACACATGCAGATAACAAACTTTCATAATGATGAAGAACTGCAAAGTCACGTGACTTTGAGAGATAGAGATGATTGGCAAAAACTAAAACAACTGTTTGGTTTAGATTGAGTAATGCAGGCCCGAGCTGTACAGGCTCCGCCCTCTTCTGAAAAAAGGTGCGGGGAGCAGCAGCTCATTTGCATTTAAAGGTACATGCACAAAAAAACGTTTTTCATTTTTCTTTTACTCAAAAATGCTATACAACATATTATAAATGATCTGCTTGGTGAAACCTCACAGAACATTCTGAGGACACCTGAGACTTAGATTACATCTTGTAAAAAGGAACATATGCTATTAACATATTGCTTCTGTAAAAATGTATTTGTAAGTTCAACAGGATATTCAGTTAAAAAGTGGATGAAATTGTAGAGGACTTGGTGATTTCATCCGAATAAGCAAGTTGTTTCGGAACGATTATGAACACCAAAGAATTGAGAAAAGTAAAACACGTAACATAAAAAGATAAAACGCTCACTCTGCCAAACAAACGGATTTAGAGTTAAAATATCAAATGAATTAAATTAAACTATAATAATATTAATAGTAATAAAAACGTTTCATGGTATGCTAATTTATCAATTGCTCATTTTTATTGACATATGAATTCATTATTTTCACAATTAATGAAATTATGTAGTAAAGTAAATGGAATTAATTCTGAGTAGGGCTGTCAACTAAATTAATTTGCATTGAAATGAAAAAAAAAAATAATTATTTCAACTTTTGTAAACTGTTTAAATTTAATGTTCATTAAAGGAGTAGTTCACTTTTAAAAAAAAAATTTGCTGATAATTTACTCACCCCCATGTCATCCAAGATGTCCACGTTATTCTTTCTTCAGTCAAAAAGAAATTAAGGTTTTTGATGAAAACATTCCAGGATTTTTCTCCATATAATGGACTTCAATGGGAATCAAACGGTTCAAGGTCCAAAAGACTGAAAACTGTCTAACAATTCCAAACTGGAAACTGTTCTAACAATTCCAGACGATGAATAACGGTCTTCTCCAGGGAAACGATCGCTCATTTAATCTGAGTCTACCCGTTCGTTTGCGTTCATTGAATGAACCAAATGACTCGGAAAAAGATTTGTTTAACAGTTTGCAGTTTGTACTGAAAGTGTCTTTTGGACCTTGAACCATTTGGTTCCCATTGAAGTCCATTATATGCAGAAAAAAAAATGCTGGAATGTTTTCATCAAAAACCTTAACTCTTTTCGACTGAAGAAAGAATGACATGGACATCTTGGATGACATGGGGGGTGAGTAAATTATCAGCAAAAGTTTTTTTTCAAAAGTGAACTACTCCTTTAATTAATATTACTTTGAAAAGCCCCAATCGAAAACATTATTGCTTTACACAATAATATAGTCCACAGAAATCCAAAGTAGATTTGATTTCTTTCCAATCAACCATTGCTGCAAGTTATTAAGGGCGGGGCTTCTTCTGTATCTGGCCAATAGCAGATGGGGGGCGGGGCACAAGGTGCAGTAGGAGTGTCAAGGAATCCCATTTGATGGCAAAATCTCAGACTGTATCTTTAATGGTGAAAAGAATTCTTCTTGTTTTATGTTTTTCCTGATAATCAAAGCAAAGAGAGTACTGCAGCCCACATCTGTGCACTGTACTTGAATGCCATCAAGTGGCTGCTGGGCCTTTTTTCCTCCGCCGTGACGTCATCCACCCTAAGCTTGTGTGCAAATGTGGATTCCTCGCCATAAGCCATTCTGTTTGCTATCAACCACACGCAAATGAAAAATGAGATGAACAAGACACTTTCTCACGCTTCTGTCAGAAAGGGCTGGGGTAATTTTAGAAAGATAATCTCTCTAAATATGATTAAAGATTAGAACCATATCAACCCCATGAAACGTGGATCTGAGAGCTTAACTGCGAACAAGATCCAGAAGGTTCTTCTCTACACCTTTTTTTTTTTTTTTTTTTACCGTACATCACCCAGAGGATCCAATGGGAAATCTACAGCCAAATGCAACTTAGTAAATATAAAAACCAGCGGGACGTAACCGACTGTCAAGGTGAATTAACAAGAGTTTACACTATGTTCCCCGATGAATACAAAATGGCAGAACTGTGTAACAACTCTATTTTCATTAACTAGACGGTATTCTCTCTTTCATCAAGCTTCACGTGTGATAGATGTGTGTTTTGGGTCGTTACAATGAGCCGTGATAATCGGAGGGTTGTGCTTTTATTCACCTGCTGTGGTTGGAAGGCTTTAATTCCACATGAGAATCACCTGCGAAGATGGAAAGCGTAATTAAGTCGGTGGGATTGATTAGCGCCTCGTTCCGGTATTCCCTTTGTTTTCTTGCGCATTCCTCAGGAGCGGACTGATTTATTCTGGGAGTGGGGAACCGTTGGAATTGAAATATGGGCGTAATTAACCGCTTACACCGTGCTTGACTTTCCCAACTGCCTAAATAACCGCCTTTCCTCCTGGTCTGAGGACGCGACGTCTTTCTCATCATGCTGTTCATGCAGCCAGCCATATCAAGGCCTGAGAAGAGTGGAGGAGGGTGTTTTCATAGCCATAGACTTACAGCAGACTTTAAAGGAGTAGTTCACTTTTAAAAAAACTTTTGCTGATAATTTACTCACCCCCATGTCATCCAAGATGTCCATGTCTTTCTTTCCTCAGTCGAAAAGAAATGAAGGTTTTTGATGAAAACATTCCAGGATTTTTCTCCATATAATGGACTTCAATGGGAACCAAACGGTTCAAGGTCCAAATGAGAGTTTCAGTGCAAACTGTTCAAAGGGCTTTAAAAGATTCCAGATGATGAATAAGGGTCGTATCAAGCGAAACGATCGCTCATTTAAAAAATAAATGTAAAAGTTTAAGTTCTATAAGCTCAAATGGTCACCTTGCTCTGTTCTGTGATGAGCGTTCGTGACTCTCCTGTTCTTCAAATCTTTTTTCGAGTCACGGCTAGATTAGACCCTTATTCATCGTCTGAAATCGTTTAAAGCCCTTTGAACAGTTTGCAGTTTGCACTGAAACTGTCTTTTGGACCTTGAACCGTTTGGTTCCCAATGAAGTCCATTATATGGAGAAAATCCTGGAAAGTTTTCATCAAAAACCTTAATTTCTTTTGGATTGAAGAAAGACATGGACATCTTGGATGACATGGGGGCGAGTAAATTATCAGCAAAAGTTTTTTTTAAAGTGAACTACTCCTTTAAAGTCGACACGAAAGGGAAGTTGCGATAGTCTTTTCTTCCTTGTTTTGACGTATATCTGAGTGAAACGGCTTCTCAAACAAAAAATAAATGAAGGGTGGGTTTGATTGTGTTCATGGGGAATTGATTGGATGGTTGTGGTTTGCTATTGGTGGATTTCATTTGAGTGACAGGTTGTCCCGCCCTCACTACAGTAAACATCATCAGAGAAGAGAAAACACGTCGCCGCAAGAGGGAGGGGAAGTTATTTTGGTTAAAGATTACAAAATCCCATTGAAAAAGAAGAATTGCCCATTTTGATGTTAACTTGTACATGATGGATATTGTAGTGTAGACTAAAAGTGAGTAGGCATGTGCTAATCTCACAAAAACCGATCCATTATGCTTTAAAATGAACAAAAACAGTGAAATATTGACAGACGGAATATTATGCAAACCTACAATAAGTAAATATGTTGATTCTGATATACGTTATGCATTTAAAGGAGTAGTTCACTTTTAAAACACTTTTGCTGATAATTTACTCACCCCCATGTCATCCAAGACGTCCATCTTTTTCTTTCTTCAGTCGAAAAGAAATTAAGGTTTTTGATGAAAACATTCCAGCATTTTTCTCCATATAATGCACTTTACTGGTAACCAAACAGTTCAAGGTCCAAAAGACACTTTCAGTGCAAACTGCAAACTGTTCAAAGGGCTTTAAACGATTCCAGGCGACGAATAAGGGTCTTATCTAGCGAAATGATCACTCATTTAAAAAAAATAATAAAATAACAAAGCTTAAGTTTTATAAGCTCAAATGCTCGTCTTGCTCTGTTCTGTTACTCTCCAATTCGAACTCATTCATCAAAATGAACAAATCTTTTCAAATCGTTCATTTCATTCGTTGAATAAATACGATAAAAGATTTGTTCATTTTGATAAACGAGTTTGAACAGGAGAGTCACAAACGCACATCAAAGAACAGAGCAGAGCAAGGCGGCCATTTGAGCTTCTAAAACTTCTTTTTTCGTTGTTATTTATTTTATTTTTTTTAAATGAGCGATTGTTTCGCTTGATAAGACCCTTATTCATCGTCTGAAATCCTTTAAAGCCCTTTGAACAGTTTGCAGATTGCACTGAAACTGTCTTTTGGACCTTGAACCGTTTGGTTCCCATTGAAGTCCATTATATGAAGAAAAATCCTGGAATGTTTTCATCAAAAACCTTCATTTCTTTTCGGCTGAAGAAAGAAAAACATGGACATCTTGGATGACATGGGGGTGAGTAAATTATCAGCAAAGGTTTTTTTTAAAAGTGAACTACTCCTGAGTAATCTCACTTTATTAACCAATGTCTTTGCAGATGATCTTCGATTAACCAATTTTGTTCAATTTTTTGTTCAACTTAGTTCGTTGCCATCAAGAATGATCATTTTATTTGTTTATCTTGGTGTGAACAACTAACAACTAAAAGTTTCTTAATCTGGGTTTTGAAATTGACAAGCAAAAGTTGTTATCCACAATCCTTTGGCTGCAAAAATACATTTGGTCAGAAGCTTAAAAAGAGAAAAATGTCGAAAAGTGCATGTCACAAGTAAGCCTTTTGTAGCATTTGAAGCAGAAAGCTGGAACTGCTTCAGAGATTTTTGGATACAGAAGACATGGACTCTCTAATACCCAATATGGTTTCCTTGATGTGTAGAACTATATGGTCAGCGCAGTCATGCAGAAATATGAAACAAAACCAGATTAAACCAGCCAACCTTTAA